CTAGGCTGTGTAAAGTTGACATTTTAAGCTAACTATGACAAGAGGTAACTGGGGAAAACTGTACCTGAGTCTTGGTAGGTGTGTCTTTCTGTGGTTAGAACTTCTTTGCAAGTAAACATTCTTGAAGCAGTTAGGTTGTTCGCCTCATATTAGAAACTAAGACAAGGGGAAGGAGAAGAAGAGGATGAGATGGGAGGATTGTGGAGGGGTAACCTGGAGGGCATGGTGATATCATTTGAAATGTAAATGAATAAAATCATTAAATAAATAAATAAGAAACTAACTCACCTGGAAATTCTCTAAAACATGTACAGTAACCAGGAGTCTGCACACTCCAAATACACACACACTCACACACATATCACTTGAATTGTAGTATTTTTTGTAATTTTGTGGACGTTTCTAGAGGATCATGGGAAGACATATCTTAAAACAAATACCTAATCTCTTGAATGAACTTGTTTCTTCAAAAAGACAAGAACAGAGAGACCATACCACATACACACACAGACACAGAAACCACACACACACACACACACACACACACACACACACTTACTCAACCTTTAAAACAGTGCCACCAGCTGGTTACCAAGTGTTCAAACACATGATGTGTTAATGATACCTCCACCTATCTCTCCTATGTCTCTAGGTTTCTGCATCTCCTTAAAGTATTTCCTTTCTAAATCAGAACACTCAGTAGAGAAACCACATGGCTGGGTTCAAGCAATTAATAGAATGCACACTTCAAGTTACTTTTCAGTGGGCAGTTACCCTCTTTAGTTCTCCATGAAGGAAGTTCAAAAATAAAACTGGGGCTATAGTTTAGTTAGTAGATAGAGTGCTAGCTAACCATACACAAAGCTCTGGATTCCTTCTCAGCACTGCACAAGCCAGTCACAATACCTATCATATCCCTGCAATCCTAGCACTTGAGAAGTATAGGCACCAGGACCTCAAGTTCAAGGTCATCTTCAGCTATATTGAGAGTTAGAGCTCAACCTGAGCTACAAAATGTTAGGTTTCAACTCAAAACAGATGGCTGAGGTGCCTACTTAACGTATTAAAGCAGACTTGACCACCAGATTCTCCCTGCATATCTCCCCCACCTCCACCACCACCACCATAAACTTTTCTACCCCTGAGGCTGGGCTGCCTTTCCCCCAGTTGTCCTTCCCAAATAATTGAACTATTTTTGTTACCTGATCTTTTCCTCTACTCTTTTGGTCCTTCTAGCTGCTGTGCCTTGTACTTCTCCTTCCCTTCTCCCCTACCTCTCTCTACCTCTTCTGTCTACCTCTGCCCCTTCTCCACACATGACTCTTAGTCATGTCCACTCTAGACTCTTCCAGATGTCCCTGCCTCTGACAATGTCTCCATTTTATCCACAATAAATGTATAGATGATAGACCTATATAGATCAATGATAATTAAAAAGAGGCCATGAATTTGAGAGGAACTATGGGAAAATTAGTGGAAGGCCAGAATGAAGTTATTATTTTATAATTGAAAAGTATTATTTTAATTTATAGACTGTTGAGCTGGAGAGATGACTCAGTGGTTAAGAACACTAAATGCTGTTGTAGAGGACCTGGATTTGATTTCTAAATATACAGACAGGCAAAACACCTATGCATACAAAATAACAACATAGAAATAAGGCTTTAAAATTACTAATTGTTTATTCCTAGGATTTTTTTTGTGGGGGGGGGACCTGGGTTGATACTGTTAACTGCAACCTCTATGTTTGGTTTCAGAACCCAGGCAAGGGACTGAGGTGCATATTGTAGATGCCAAAATAGATCTGTCTTCCAGGTTCTCCCAGCATCCCTCAGTCCCTGCCTGGCATACTGTGCCCCCAACCTGAACTTTCCAGTCCAGGGGCTGGGCTGCCCTAGCCCCAGAAGCTCTTCCCTAAATAATACAGTAATGCAGATCTCTCTCTCTCTCTCTCTCTCTCTCTCTCTCTCTCTCACTCTCACTCTCACTCTCACTCTCACTCTCACTCTCTCTCTCTCTCTCTCTCTCTCTCTCTCACTCTCTGCCCCCTCCTTCTTCTTCTTCTCTACCTCCTCCTTCTTCTTTTTTTTACCACCCACATGACAGTATAGTATAGAACGAACAGAGTTTATTCAGGGCACAGGGAGGGCAGTTGAGAGGGTAGTAGAGACAGAGAAAGGCAGAAACAGAGAGTGAGTGCAGGAGTAGAGTAGTAGAAGCCAGCCATGAGCATATGGAGGGTCATGAGGGGAGAGGAGGAAGTGGCAAGAGTACAGAACAAGAGCAGGAAGGCAAGAGAGAGCAGAGGGGAAAAGCAGCTCCTTTCATAGAGAGTTAGGCAGACCTGGGTACTGCCAGGTAACTGTGAGGCAGAGCTTAGACAAAATGCTAACACACAGCACCACCCAGTGTGTGTTTTGTAAACTAGCCACAAGTCTTGCCTTGGACACCTTTCTCCTTCTTTTTCCACTCCTCTAACTCTACATCAGTCAGGAGCACCTCCTCTAGGAAGCTTTTCCTGCCTTTCAGTTGGGTTGAACCATTATTCCATCAGCGTCCAATCCTATATTTACACAGCTGCCTCCTCTACTAGATTGACATCTCCTCAGATGCAGGGCCCCCTGCTGAGTCATTTTTGTGTGCCTGGCATCACTTAGTTCAGGGCCCCACCCATCATCTGCTCAAGAGATGTCCTTATAATGAATACATGTTTTTCCTCTGCTTCTTCTCCATTTTTAGCAATCACCCTTGCCCTTCTCTTGTGGTGAAATTAAGTGGTGATGATCCTACCTGGAAGACACTGTAGATTCAGGACAGAAACCAGTTATAAGCCGTCATTGGAGGGGAGGGATCTGTGAAAGATTGCTCAGCTTCGTCTGTCCTTGTCATCTTGTCTTTGCTACATTCAGTCCTGGTCATCTGTGTTTGCAAGGAAAACTGGACCTCTGCTCCTGAGGGAGCAGGGTTGGGCCTGTATTCATTTTTTGAAATAGGAGGGCAGATGTCTAGACTCAAACTCCTGAGTTAAAGTGGGAGGACTGAATACTGGGTACTCAGATCTGAGGGAAGCAGACTGGGGTCTGAAATTCTTGGTCTGAAGGAGGAGAGCTAGAGACTGTGACCCTGGGTCAAACAGAGACGTACTGATGCCTGGTCACCTGGGTCTGAAGGAACCTATGGACTCTTGTGCCCTGGCAGAGAAAACTCCTAGAGTTTGAAATCCTGGTCTGTCTCTCATGTACTCTGGTTTTAGAAACATCTGGTTTTATACAGCTGCTCCACCCAGTCAGGGTGGTGTTGAGGCTAGGCAATCAAATATCCAGCTCCTGGGTGGAGCCTGGGCTATCCCTTCCTAGCCACGGGAACTCCCCTTATCCCCAGATCTGGGCTTGCTTCCATCACAGGATCCATCATCCTGACACAGCCAGACACTAGGCAACACAGTTTCCCAGCAATAGCATCAGACATAGCCTGTCCTGCCCTGATACTGGGTAGTACCCAGTTTCCAACCATCAGAGACCTTCTCCCAGGTAGCCAAGGTCAAGCAAAGGCCCAACAAGGCACTGCACCAACACCCTGTATAACAAGGTTCTCACACCCTGGGTTCTCACCCACTCCTGGCTCTGTCTGGGAGAGTGCTGAATGGTTAGAAGAGATGAAGCAGTCAGAGGAAAGAAAAACAGAGAGACATAAAAAGCCAGAGGGGGAGAAGTGAGTGAGAGTCTCCCAAAGAGGCAGGCAGGCAGATGATAGCTAAAGAGACAGAGGGATAGAAGAGTAGACAGATAGATATACAGATTGTAGATTAGTGGAAGATGAGAATATTAATAGACCTGAGATGGGGAGAGGAGGAGAAGGAAGAGTGAAAGAAATGGGAATACAGATGAGTAGAGAAATATAGTCAGGGCATCAAGTACAAAATGAAAAAGTAAGAGAGTGAGACAGAGAGAGAGAGAGAGAGAGAGAGAGAGAGAGAGAGAGAGAGAGAGAGAGAGAGAGAATATAAACTTCATCAGCATCCCTCACACAGCAGAATGCAGGAAGAGACAACCACTGCCACAGACTGAGCAAAACTCATCACTGTATACTGAGAGGAACTCTGAAAAACATAGTCTAATACATACAGACACACACACACACACACACACACACACACACACATATCCATCCTTACAAAAATCATGTAAAAGAGTGATAGGGATCACTGGCCTTCTGGCCCCCAGGAGAGCTAGGGTTTACTCTGGGAGACCCTTTTCTCTTCCCAGCTGTGTTCTGACCTAGTCTCCATCAGAGCACTGAGCCCAGACCACTCTATGGAGTCATTGCCTTCCCCCTGCCCGAAGTCAGATTCCAGTATCCCAGGCCTTAGCCCTAACCGGACTGTAATATGAACATATGTGTACACAAGTACACACACACCAGCCCAGAAGAGAACAGAGAATATTCTGGCTGTAGCTCCAGTCTGCTGTGAAACACATGCCAGCAACACAGGCACACCCACAGACATGCATGTGTGTGCACTTTCTCTATCTGCCCGTTGCTGAAATACGATTCTGGGAGGACATATTTGTAGAAACTCTGAGGAGAGGAAAAGTGGGCTATGGGGAGATGAGAGTGAGTGAAGAAGAGGAAGAGGTAAGGATGTATGGGGGCAGGACAGGGAGACAGGGAGATGTGGTGGTGACAGGGGAAAGATGGAGACAAAAATACAGACAAAACACAAGGGAGACAGCTGACGGAGATGAGAAAGAGAACTGGGGGAAAGGGCTGAGAGAGGGGGGTTGTGAAGGGCCAATTTGAGGGTCTGGTAAGGAAGGTCCTATCTGATGAGGGGGATGGGGAAAATGTCGGGAATTGAAGAGGGTGGAGCAGTATGACTGCCTGACCTCAGAGCCCCTGGTCAGACTTATCTGACGTCAGCCCTCCTCCACCCCCGCAATGTGTTGGTCTTCAAATGGCCCCCCTCCAGCTAACTTCAGACACACTCAGATTGCAGAGCAAGTCGGAGAGGAGAGAATCCAGGAGGACCAACAGCCATGAGACAGGTTCGTGTGTGAGTGTGTGTCCATGTGCGTGTGCATGCTCATGTGCGGTGTCTGCTGCCATGAGGGTTAATTACTACCGTATGTGTGACCATATGCATTGGAGGCTAGTAAGAATGTGATTGTATGTGCATTTGGTGTGTCCATATGTATCTATGTATGACAGTTCAGTGAGCACATGAAGTACAGTGTGTGTCTCTGTGTTCATCCTGTAAGGTTTGCCGTCCATAGATGTCTATGATTCTATAAATATATGTTTGTGTTCCCTAGGAGTGAAAGAAGATTTTGCCTGTGTATAACATATGCATTTTGGGTTTTGATTTTTTTTTATGGGATCAGAATCTACTTAGTTGAAATACATGCAGTCACCAATATTCAACCTCTCTTGCCCTGTAAAAATAGCAGTTTTATATGGTTGGGGTTCATTTTAACTGTTCAGTATTTCTTCTGAAACTTTGTTTCTATTCCTTCATCCCAGGCCCATGGTGGCTGTCTAGGTATTTATTCACATATTGCTAAGTCTTCTTGATAATGTTTCTTCCTGATGCTGAGGCCTTGTGTGCTCAGGTCCCCTGAATGACTGTCAGAGGAACCTTGTGTTCAGCCTGAGACACGGAAGTCTTCTGAAACATCGTGCTTTCAGTTGTGTGGTTCTTAGTGTTGTGGGTACAACTTTACCTGGAGGTATCTGTATTGCTGGCATCAAAAACTTCCTTCTAAGATGAGCTAGCCTTAGGAGCCCAGGCAGAGCTGTGTTTGAGACAAAAAAATAGGAACAAAAGAGTCTAAAAGAATAATTTTTATTGGTTATTTAAAATTTCTATCTCAAGTTGAGTATCGTACCTGAGGTCTTAGATACTTGACTGAGACGGGGGAATGCTTGAGTCTAGGAGTGTGAGGGTAGTTTGGACAACACAGGGAGACCCTCTATCTTCTTTAAAACCCCATGAAAACCCTAACTCATCTCTATTGTTCAGAAACGTAAACTGATCTGCAATATATTATTTTTAAATCCTCTTGAAAAGGTAAAGAGGGGCCACAAGATGCTCTAGGGGTTGAACGTGCTTGCTGCTGAGCCTGACAATTTGAGTTTGGTCTCCAAGACTCACATGGTAAAAAAGAGAGAGAGAGAGAGAGAGAGAGAGAGAGAGAGAGAGAGAGAGAGAGAGAGAGAGAGAGAGAACCTATTCCCATAATTGTCTTCCAACCCTCCCACCCCCCCACACACACAAGTACACAGCAAGGCACTGTGCATACATATGCCCACACGTATACATACACAAAATAAACAAATAACTATAAACTTTAAAAGAAAATGAAAGGAAATTAATTTTGGTAATTTATTTGCTCCAACCCAGAGTGTGAGATGACTATAAACTTTTCTACCAAAGACCAGGTGGTATCATTTGAGGACTGGAGAACACTGCATTCTCTGCTGAAACTATTCATCCTTGGTATTCTACCGTGTCCTCATGCTCGGGTTAAAAGGACTGGAGTTTTGAACTGTGTGTAACTTTCATTCTCCACAAAATATTTTTGTTCACCTTTAGCTTTAAAAGCAATTTGCAAATGTAAAACATTACTTACTTGTAAGTGGTAGTGGAAATTAGTGTACTAACAATTACTGTATACTTAAAAATATGATTGTTTGGGGCTGACAAGACAGCTCACAGAGCAAAGGTGCTTGCTGCTAAGTCTGATTACCTGAGTTTGCTTTCCTACATGTTGGAAGGAGAACTGACTCCCGAAAGTTGCCCTGACTTTCACTCACACACTATGGCATGTGTACATGTCATATGGCATACACATAAACACACAAACAAACATTTTTGGAACAGGGTTGTTTTAGGGATTAGAGATGTAGCTCAGCAGGTGGAGTGATTTCTCAGCATGCATAAAGACACAGGATCAATCTCAGCACCAAATAAACTGAGTGTGGCGGCTTACTTCTATCATCACTCAGAAGTTAGAGGCAGAAGCATCAAAAATCAAAGGACATTCTCAGGCACACAGTGAAACCAAGGCCAGCTTGGGGTTTATGGAACATTGTGTAGGAAACACGATGATCATTTTAATATTTTGCTAACACAAAATATTAATGAGGTCTCTTGTCTTATTACCCACCCCAGACTAAGACTGAAAAATACACTGTGTGTAGAAAATGGTTTATTCAGGTTTAGGTTTTTGTAATATTGACAGTTAAGAAGAGAGGGGTCATGTATCACACTTGGTCAAAACATATTTCAAAGTTTTTCAGTAACCAAACAGAACTAAATAGAAAATTTGTCTTAATTTGTGTATTTAAATTATGTATTTACATACAAAGTGCTCAGGATTGAATCCAGGGCCTCATGCATGCTTGGCAAAATGTTCTACTGAGCTTTACACCCACCATCTTTTTACTTTTGTTTTTAAACATTTATGTATTTGTGTGTGTGTGTGTGTGTGTGTGTGTGTGTTTGTGTTTGTGTTTGCTCACAACAGGTTTGGAGGTCAGAGGACATCTTGCAAGAATCTGTTCTCTCCTTCCTCTATTTGAGTTTTGAAGCTACACCTGAGGTCCTCAAGCTTAGTAGCAATTACCTTTACTTACTAAGCCACCTTGCCAACCTCTTTATTTTTATTTTGAAAAAGGGATTTACTAAGTTAACCAAGCGAGCCTTAAACTAGAGATCTTATATCATTCAGCCTCAAAAGTAGTTAGGAGGACAGACTACACCACTGCCATTTTAATGTCTATGTGTGTATGTGCTGTATATGTGTATGTTCAGCCGAGCTAGCTCCCCTGGAGGTCAGACGCCAAGATTAAGGTCTTCCTCTATCTCTTCCTCCACACCCTCACTTCTTTTTTAAAGAGAGAGTTTCCAGTGAACTTGGAGTTCACAATTTCAGTTACAATGACCCGCCAGCAAGCCCTAGGCATCTACCTGTCTGCCTTCTTGTTGATGGAATTACAAAAGAGTGCTCACTCTGCTCCTTTGTGTATGCTGAACAACGTCCTCAGCCCATTAATAGTAAATTTTAAATTAAGATTAGAAACTCACACACAGGTGAGAGTACCTGCCTTTCAGCTGTGGTCAATGTTGATTATGTTGTATAGATGTCTTAACCCACAGTCAGTCAGAGAGGGAGGATCTGGTAGCCTAAGACAGAGGATGCACAACAGCCAGATTGTCTGTGTCTGAACCCTAAATCCTCTGCTTACTACTTAGTTGACTTTTGGAGAGGGAAGTCATCTGTTTGGGCCTCAGTAACAGGACACAGCAATAAGACCCACTGCAGAGGTTTGCTGTAGAACAGGGTCAAGCTTCGGAGGTTGCCACTCATCCATTTTATGGACAAGAAGACAAAAACCATTTTCAGTCTCCTCTGATGTGTAAATACACATGGCCCTGGCCAATAACTGAACAGTAGAAAGGGGGCACAGTCCAGGCCTCTAGGAATTCAGAAGTACAATTCTACCACCTTTGGCTCTGTGGTTGCTCAACTGCCACAAGCTTCTGTCAACCCTCACCTTTGCTATCTATACCATTACTGTAAATGCTGTCACTGAGTGCTCTCCTGAGAGGAGAAATCAGTATAGAAGGACTGATTAATGATTAGAACCATGGGTTCAAGTCCCATAATCTTATATATAACTATTTGCATTTCCATGACTATGTACCTCTGCTGGAAAATAGGGATGATAAGAGTACTTACCTGGGGTTAGTAATGTAGCTCAGTTGGTAGAGCACTTGCATAAACTCAGCATGGTGGTTACATGCCTGGCATCCTAGCAATCCAGAAGTTCAAAATATCCATGGCTACATGTAGCCCACACTGGGCTACAGGAGACCTCGTCTCTAAAATAAACAAGTTCGTCTAAAAGAGTTAAGAAAGCACTTGATACACATTTTATATTAACTCTTTAGTACGTGGTATCATGTCCTGGCACAATGAAATTTTTGTTTGTGAAGTTATTAATGTTATTGTTTTTCTAATTGTAAAAATTACTTTTTTGCGTGTGGCACACCAAAGCATGTGTCTTAATCAAAGAACAGCAAATTGATTTCCCTCCTTGAATCCTGTGGGTTCTGAGGATCAAACTCAGTTGTCAGACTTGGAGGCAGGCACCTTTATGCCACCTACCAGCCAGCCCCATAGTATGGGCCACTATCAAAAACAGAGGAAAAGCCTGGGGAATTGGATTGTGCAATCCTTTTATATACAAGAGATGTTGAAAGTGGGGGAGGGGAAGGCATTGTAACTTACTTTAGTAGGCAGCCAGTAAAAGCCTGGCTAGGTGGCTCTCTCCTTTCTTCCCTGAACTCAAGAGGCTGAGGCTAGAAGACTGGGCTACATAGACCTTTTCTACTAAAAGGGGAGGGGACTAACAAAATTAGCCATTACGTTAAGATTATAGCCACAATTACTTCAAACGTGGTGCTCAGAGTATCTTCTTTGTAAGAAGTCCTGATATGCGGTTAATCGCATCTGATGTCCTTGCAAAGGACCTGAGTATGGTTCCTAAGATCTAATGGTTTCACAATTACCTGTGACTCCAACTCCAGGGCATCCCATACTCTTTCTGGCCTCCACCGGCACCAGGCACATTGTCCACGGACATACGTGCAGACAAAACACCCACACACATTAAATAGAAATAAACTAACCTTTAAAATATAAAATATTTCACTAAAAAGTTCTGAGATGTCACCATCCAGTTTAGGAGGAGGATTACCAGGAGTAAAGTCACCCCATCAGGCCCCCAGGGCTGATCCTTCTCCTTGGCCACCCACAGGACATGCCAAAGCCCTCAGAGGCAGCGCGTTGCTGCTCAGGCCTGGCCCGGCGGGCGCTCACGATCACCTTCGCCCTGCTCATCCTGGGCCTCATGACCTGGGCCTATGCCGCAGGTGTTCCTCTGGCTTCTGATCGCTACGGCCTCCTGGCCTTTGGGCTCTATGGGGCGTTCCTAAGCGCGCACCTAGTCGCACAGAGCCTCTTCGCCTACCTGGAGCACCGGAGGGTGGCAGCGGCTGCGCGGCGCGCCTTGGCGAAGGGACCCCTGGATGCGGCCACTGCACGCAGCGTGGCACTCACCATCTCAGCCTACCAGGAGGACCCCGCCTACCTGCGCCAGTGCCTGACCTCCGCGCGCGCCTTGCTGTACCCGCGCACGCGGTTGCGCGTGCTCATGGTGGTGGACGGCAACCGCGACGAGGATCTGTACATGGTGGACATGTTCCGGGAAGTCTTCGCCGATGAGGACCCCGCCACCTATGTGTGGGATGGCAACTACCATCAGCCCTGGGAGCCAGTGGAGATGGCGGGCTCTGTGGGTGAAGGTGCCTACCGCGAGGTGGAGGCTGAAGACCCCGGGCGGCTGGCGGTGGAGGCGCTGGTGAGGACCCGCAGGTGCGTGTGCGTGGCTCAGCGTTGGGGCGGCAAGCGCGAGGTCATGTACACGGCTTTCAAGGCACTGGGCGACTCCGTGGACTATGTGCAGGTGAGTGACGGTTTTCCCCGGGACACTTGAATGATATCATAACCCCCCCCCCCGCCACACACACACACACGCACACACTTCAGAAAGAATAGGCTGCATCCAAGTCCATGCTTGGGAGGTGGAGGCAGAAGAGTCAGAAATTCAGTCCGGTTTGAACTTTTATCCAACCTCCAATAGACCATCTATTTTTCAAAGCAGATAAGAGTCAATTTTGTCTTCTCTTAATATTCTCTCTCTCTCTCTCTCTCTCTCTCTCTCTCTCTCTCTCTCTCTCTCTCTCTCTCTGTGTGTGTGTGTGTGTGTGTGTGTGTGTGTGTGTGTGTGTGTGTCTGAGAAGAACATCAGGTGCCCTGCTCCATTACTCTCAGTTTTCCTTATTCCTTTGAGAACGGCTATCTTACTGAACTTAGACCTAGGCTAGCAGTCACCAATTCCCAGTCACACACACACACACACACACACACACACACACACGCACACAGCGTTATGTTACAGGCAGGCATATGCAGCTACACCTAGATTTTTACATTCTGGGTCCTAAAGCTTGTTATCTGCCCAGCTATCTGCCAGACTTTGAAACCTTTCTTCTTTCATCACCGCACGTTCAGGCTGTCATTCATTCATTCATTCATTCATTCACCAACTAACGATGAACTGATTTAATGTGGCTATTTAGCCAATCTTATCTATCCATTTGATATGAGTCCTTTATTCCTTTGACGTGATTCTTTTTCTTTCAATGGTACATGAAGCGATACAGTGAACTCACTCTATCCATTTGTGTACTGATTGCTGTGACAAAATACCAGACCAAAGCAACTTAGAGAAGGAATGGTTTATTCTCACTCACCGTTTTATGGTACAGTATATCACGATAAGGAAGGAATGGACTCAGGAGCTTGAGAAAGCTGATCACACTTACTCCTGCAGATAGGAAGCAGAGGAGACAAGGAAGTGAGACCCACTAGCTGTCCTCCAATGACCCACTTCCTCCATCAAGGCTCTACCTCCTAAAGGTTACATAACCGTCATCCTACCTCCTATGAGACCAAGTGTTCAAACACATACATTTATGGAAGACATTTCACATTCAAACCACAGCAACACTGAATGAAAAAAAAAAAACCCAGTAAATCCATTACCTTCTTTCATTCATACAGCCACTGAAGACTGAAGGAAACTATTTCATCATACATTCATTCATGTATCTTTCTACTTATTCATTTAAAATAATGATTGATTCACTTATGCACCCACCAACCTAATCAGGCATCAAATATAATGTTATTTTCTTTGTTCATTCAATATGGAAATTCTTTTACTGTTCTACCCACCCATGCATTTTCTATACAACCAGTGTGGACCTCAACAACCTATTTTTTCACTTACCTTTTTAATATAGGGGCAGCCCCCCTTTTTTGCCTGTTTCTTCAATGTTGACATTTTGTCATCCATCCATCTAAGAAATATAGACCTTTATTTTGCCATATGTTCATCTATTCATTAGTCATTCACTAATATGCTACTGCCTTAGTTTCTTTTCATGTCACTGTGAGAAAATTCTCCAGCAAAAAACACCTTAAGGGAGAAAGGGCTTGTTTTGCCTCAGAGTTCAGGGCTAATTCTTCGTGGAGGGAAAGTCGCAGCAGCAAGGGCTTTAAACCATTGCATCCATGGTCAGGATGAATGCTTGTGTTCAGCTCACTTTTTTCTTTTTATATAATCCATAATCCCAGTCTGGGGAATAGTTTAAAGGGTCTATAGGCTTTTCCAAGCAGCAGCCCTGTTCAGGCTTCTGGTCTGATCCAGCTCCTTTGCTCTTCACAGGTCTGTGACTCAGACACAAGGCTAGACCCCATGGCACTGTTGGAGCTTGTGCGAGTGCTGGACGAAGATCCCCGGGTAGGGGCTGTTGGAGGAGATGTGAGGATCCTTAACCCTCTGGACTCCTGGGTCAGCTTCTTGAGCAGCCTTCGATACTGGGTAGCCTTCAACGTGGAGCGAGCTTGTCAGAGCTACTTCCACTGTGTGTCCTGCATCAGTGGTCCTCTGGGTGAGTGAAAGCAGTTTGGAGGGCTTGTGGGTGGGGAAGAAGGGAGAGAGGGAGGAAGAGGCAGGGTAAAGTTGAGGACAAAGGGTTGGGGGTCTGGATTTCAGATAACATAACATTGGGGCCAGTGGGTAGAGATGGTGTTAGAGTTGAGCTGAGTTTACTGGAGAGGGAAAAGGATGGAGACTGGGAAAGTGGCTGCAAATTAGTGAGATGAGGTTGCCATGGAGATGGGGTTGAGCAGGGTACGGAGAATGCAGTGGCTTTGTCAGGAGATTGGTGAGTTTGTGCATGCAGATTGTTCATGGTCAGGTGACAAACACATTGGAATGAGCTTGAGCCTAAGACTGGGGCTGTTTGTGGGGGATGGTGAGGTGCAAGGATGGAGGCGAAGAAGCATAGGGTGGGAAACAGAGAACATTGGACACATCAGAGGCTGATGCTTGGGTACTCCCCATTCTACCTAGGCCTATACAGGAACAATCTCCTGCAGCAGTTCCTAGAGGCCTGGTACAACCAGAAGTTCCTGGGCACCCACTGCACATTTGGGGATGACAGGCACCTCACCAACCGCATGCTCAGTATGGGCTACGCTACCAAGTAAGTTAAGGGGACCAAGTGGTCAAATGTGTGGAGCAAGTGAATGTCTTTGATGGAGAGATACAGAAGGGGGGGAGATAAATACCGTAAGAGGCAGAGGAATCATTTGTATTTAGCCAATGGCCTTCAAAGAGTTTGATATTAGGATAAAATTGGAGGTATTGTAAAGATTAGAAAGAGTTTTCATGAGCTCTTTTCATTAAATGGTCTCCACCAACCAAGAGAAGGTGAGAGTGTGTTAATTCTACATAGAAAATACAAGGTAGGTGGGTTCAGTGGGCTGTGTCAAGGAAACCAAGCCACCATAAAAGTGAAGTGAGAGGGTTAAGCTGAATGGATAGGGTGAGTGAAGACCAGTGACAAATTCAGCAAGAAAAAATAGGCAACTGCTGACAGAGGAGAGTGCCTGCTAGCCCCTAAGCACTCTGGAGAAGTCTTTCAGTCGCAATATCAGTTTGGTTACTAAGTCTCTGTTGGATGCTCTAGAGACACAGAAGTATGCAAAGGATGACATAAATTCTTCCTGCTTTGAAGAGACAATGTATCTATCAGGAGTGGTAACCTACATAGTATGTTTTGTGACTTTCCCAGAGAAAGAATAGTGATCTAATTTAATTTTTGTTTCTGCCACAATATCCTTGACTGAAAACAACTTGAGGGCTTGTTTGGCTTACAACTCCTGATCCCAGTGATTCAAGGCAGGAACTCAAGCAGTCAGTGATGTCACATGCACATTCAAAAACAGAGAGAGATGAATGGAACTTCTCAGGCTGCCACCTTCTGCTTACCATATAGCTAGCTTTCTCTACTGTTACACTGTTGAGTGCCTGCCCTGTGAAGTAGTGCTACTCAAGTTCACATGAGTCTTGCCATCGCAGTGAACAACCATGACAGTTCCCCACAGATAGGCCAAGGGCCAACCTGATGTAGATGCTCCTCAATGGAGGCTTTCCTCTCAGATGATTTTATATTGTGGCAAGTTGAGACTAACTGGCACAGATGTGAACAGACATCCATTTACCCAAATCAGGGCATAAATGATATACCAAAACAAATAACAAAGCAAAATAAAATCTACCCATGATTAACATGGTGCTATTTAGATTATTGGTTTACTTATGTATGAATGATTCTGAGACAGCTTTGACCGCTTACAAGAGCTGCATCTGTAGATACCCTGCAAGCAGCTCAACTGAAAAATCCTCCTTCCCCCTCCGTTAAGAGGGTTCTTCTTGTAACATTTTAAGCTTCTCCACTTTGGGTCTTGTAAGTCCCATGAGCTTCCATTAGCTTTTTAAATCTCCCCTCCTCCCTCCAAGAGAGTATGTTTCAGTTTGGAGAAAGCTGCTAGATTTGGAATAATCTCATTGTAGCCTAGGGCACCAAGAAAAAGAAGGCCAACATGAGTCCCCTTATGAAAGGCTCATGGGACCTTCACCAAAAATGAATGGTGGAGGACTTTAAGGAGAAGACTGGCATGTATCAGCATCCTCCAGACAGCTGGTTTGGATACAAACCAGCAAAGGCAGAAGCAAACAGGACATGGAGGGTGCCAAATGACACAAGGAAGACAGACTCTGTTAAGTACTGCCCTTGGCAATAGACTAGTTTGACTGATGTTGCCTAATAAATTAACTGCTTCTGACTACCTCTGACTTCCCTAATTGAGATTCTGTCTAACCTTGATGGGCGTGGCTAAGCCATGCAGGGACAGATAAATGGTTTCTGCCTCAGCCACAAGAAGGATTCCAACTGCTCTGTTCATAATTTCTTACGCAGAGACTAACCTGGGTAGCAGCCAGTCTCATCTTGCTTCTCATGGCAGATCCTGCCAATTTAGTCAGTACTTAGTCAAGTCACCAATGGTGTTAGTGTCAATGACTATAGTATTAGTCACTTCTGTAGTAATGGTGTTAGTCACAGGAAAAGCAGCAGTAGCTCACATTAAGTAAGCAGTTACTAGAAGGTCTTTGGCATTTTGATCTTCATGCAATCTGGGCTGTTGTAAATATGAAATAATGCTATAGGTCCGTAGAAAAGATGCTTTGAAGACTGGAGAGAGATGGTTCATTGATTAAAAGGACCTCTTCCAGAGGTCTCAAGTTGAATTCCAGCACTCCCATCTGGTGTTCACAATTGCCTCTACCTCCATCTACAGGGGATTTGAGACACTCTTCTGGACTCCTTGTGCATCCATACACGTGGGCATCCACCCCAGACACACACACACACACACACGCATGCACACATAATGAAACACATGGGGAAAAATAAAACAAATCTTTCGAAATCAAACAGAAGCTCAGAGAGGTTATGTATAGTAGCTAGTATTGTCAACTTGGCAGGCTGTATGATCGATCACCTAGAAGACAAATCTCTGGGCATGTCGGTCAGGGATTTTCTAGATTACATTCATAAAAGTGAAAAGACCCATCTTAAATTTGGGCAGCACCATTTTGTGGGGTAAGGTACCTCAGATTGAGTACAAAGTCGCAAGTTGGGCAAGCTAGGTTGAGTTGACTGGTAAAGGTTTGAGAACTGATTCCTGGAAACAGTCCACGGACCTCCACTCAATGCTTGAGCGTACTCATGCGCATTCACACCTTCCCACCACACACACAAACACACACACACACACACACACACACACACACACACACACCATTCATTCCGCTCTGCTTCCTGTCCATGGATGCAATGTGATCAGATACCTCATGTCGCTGTCTCTTTGCTTTCTCTTCCATGCCAGACTTCATCTCTGAACTCTGAGCCATAACTCTTCCTTCCTTAAGCTATCATTGTCATGTGTCTTGTCACGGTGACAACCAAACAAACACAGAAAAGAAAGAGAGAGATAGAAAAGCCCCAATAGTAGCGAAAGCGGTCACTTCGAAATTCTGCCAACTGGACAGCACAAAACACCTCAGCAATGAAGAGCACTGGCTGCTCTGGGAAAGGACCTAGTTTCAGTTGCCAGCATCCACATGGCCGCTCACAATCTCCAAGAACTCCATCTATAACTTTGTGATGCCCTCTTCTGACCTCCTTAGGCACCATGAACACATGTAGCACACATACATACATGCAAGCAAAATATTCAAGCAGATAAAATGACCTTAAAATTGAAAACTCCTGCCCAGGCCCCAAGGAGAAAAACACTGATGCCTTTCTTTCTTTGTGCTTGTCAGGTATACCTCCCGGTCCAGATGCTACTCGGAGACGCCCTCCTCCTTCCTTCGTTGGTTGAGCCAGCAGACCCGCTGGTCTAAATCTTACTTCCGAGAGTGGCTATACAATGCCCTGTGGTGGCACCGCCACCACGCGTGGATGACCTATGAAGCAGTGGTCTCGGGCCTTTTCCCTTTCTTCGTGGCTGCCACAGTGCTGAGGCTCTTCTATGCAGGGCGCCCGTGGGCTCTGCTCTGGGTGCTGCTCTGTGTGCAGGGCGTGGCACTGGCCAAGGCGGCCTTTGCAGCCTGGCTGCGTGGCTGCCTACGCATGGTGCTACTTTCACTCTACGCACCACTCTACATGTGCGGTCTGCTGCCTGCCAAATTCTTGGCGTTGGTTACCATGAATCAAAGTGGTTGGGGCACCTCGGGCCGGAAGAAATTAGCTGCTAACTATGTCCCCGTGTTGCCCCTGGCACTCTGGGCTCTACTGCTGCTTGGAGGCCTGGCCCGCAGTGTGGCCCAGGAGGCCAGAGCTGACTGGAGCGGCCCATCTCGAGCAGCTGAAGCCTACCACCTTGCTGCTGGGGCCGGTGCCTATGTGGCCTACTGGGTGGTAATGTTGACTATCTATTGGGTAGGTGTGCGGAGGCTGTGCAGACGTCGGAGCGGTGGCTACCGTGTCCAAGTATGAGTCTGGGCATGAAGATCCCCCTGAGGGCTCTTAGAGGAGGCAAAAGGAGTCCTTATGAGGTAGCCCCTGGAGTCATGGATTTCATGGGGAGTCAGTTTACCTTCTCTTTGAAATGATGGAGTCATTCAAGATTCTTCAGTATGGACTGTATTGGAACTCAAGACTTCTGGGTCTCTGGGGAGGGGTAATTTATTGATCAGGGAGTGGGGTTGTAGGACCAGGGCCAGAAGGTCTCCGCTTTCTCCCTGTTGCTATTTAATGTTTCTACTGTAAGATATAATAAATTTTTTATTTATTTTCTTCCAAGCACCTCTTCCCTCTTTCTTGTTACTGAGAATTTGGGACACAAGGCCCTGTCTGGTGTGGGGGATGTTTGAGTCTCCACAGGGCATGCTTCTTCCTAGGAACCAAGGTTCTATCTTCAGAAAACACAGTTATTAAAGTTGGGGAGCCAAGAATTAAGGGCACTGGCTTGTCTTCCGGAGGACCTGAGTAAAATTTTCAGTGTCCACATGGTGGCTCATGATCTGTGTAACTTCAATTCCTGGGAATCCAACATCTTTATCTGGCCTCTCATGGGTGTAGTGTGCAGACGTATAGATGCAAACAAAGTACTCAGACATCTTAAATATAAATTAAAGAAAATTCATTTATTAGCCAGAGAACGTGATGCACACCTATAATCCCTATCACCTGGAAGTTGTAGGCAAGAGGATGAGAAATTCACAGCCATTCTCAGTTACTTTTGTGTACTGTTGCTGTGAGAAATTAACCTGACAGAAGCAGCAAGGAAGAAGGAGTTTATATGGCTTAAAATTCCAGGCCACTGTCCATTATGGCAGGGAAGTCAAGGCAGTGGGAACTGGAAGCAGCTAGTCAGATCACATCCAGGCAAGAGCAGAGCGCCATGGATTAATGAACCCATGTTTATTTGCTACTCAGCTCACTTTTTAATCAGTTTAGGGCCTAGCCCATAAAATGGTGCTGCCTATGTTCAGGGAGACTCACCCCAGGTCAATGAACCCAGTTAAAATCACTCACAGGAAGGCCACTCTAATCCAGAGACTCTGTTCCCAGATGTCAAGTAGACAATCAAAATTAAACATCACACTTTGCTACAAAGGGAGTTCAAGGCCATCCTGGGCTATGTGAAATCTTGTCTCACCAAGGCTCTCATGCCCTCAGTTTCCCTCTTAATTGGATCCCGTTTCCTTTTTTTGTGGGGAGCAATATTCTATGAAAAGGCTAGTATAATTCGATTTTAGTAAATTGGTAGTTTGTGTAGCCACAGTCATAATCTAAGATTCCCATCACTCCCACATGACTCTCACCCACTGGTTGTCAGGCTTCCTCCCAGTGTCCCTCCTCCTGCACACATACTAGAGGTAGCCACTATGAATTTTGCCTGTGAAATTTATCTGTTCTAGATAGTTCATATAAATGGAATCAGGAAGTCTGCGATTTTTTTATGACATGATTCAGCATAGGACTTTCAAAGCTTATTCCTGCTATTGACTCTCTGACGTATTCCTTTTTATTTTTAAGCAGTATACCCTAATAGGGACACAACCTATCTTTTCTCTTACCTTATTATCAGGTTGTAACTTGATGTTCTTGGCACTATGACATGCTTCAATGAGTTTTGTGTGGGCCTAAGACTTTAATTTGCTCTAGTATACACCTAGGAAAAAAACTTCTAGGTCTTACAATAATTTCAGACAGACTCTGAATAGAGCCCAAGATAGCCTCAAACATGGCAAGGATGATCTTGGGCTTCTGATCTCCAGCCTTCACCTTCTGAGTTTTGAAATTATAGACACAAGTCAACACATTGCTCATGTTCTGAGGAAAGAACTAGGAACTTTTTGGATGCTAGGAAATTACTCCACTAAACTGAGCCACATCAACAGCCCTGGCCATTTCATTAGTTTTGTGTTCTTCATGTGCAAACTCATGTGTGCGTATGTGTATGTGTGTGTTATGTGTGTGACTGCGTACATACACTTGGAGGTCGAAGAATATGTCACCTCAGCATCCAATCCTCGTTTTCCATTATGTTTGAGGAAAAGTCTCTAATTAGTCACTGCATCTACCAGCCTTGGCTGTCACAAGGTTCCTAGGATATTATTGGAAGGAGGAGGTAGAGGATCAGGAGTTCAAGGTTATCTTTGTCCAATCTAGTCAAGAAAACAAACTCCAGAATAAGGGAGAAACTCTGCCCCAGAGGAATAGAACATGATAGAAGATATCCAAAACACTCTTGAACTCCAGATGCACAAAAAAAGTGTGCAAACCTATTTGCACACACACACAAAAATACCCATACTCTCACTCAATAAAAATTTCTCATCTTGCCATTGGAGAAATAGGATTACAGAAACTCAGGACTACGTGCAGTTTTACATGGGTTCTGGAGATTTGAACTTAGGTCCTCATGATTTACTTTAAGTCCTTTGCTCACCGAGTCTATTATTATCATTATTGTTATTATCATTATTATTATTATTATTAGGATTTCCAGATCCTAATTCTTGTAGGAACTGGCAGAATTTCCTACAGGGACTACTGTTTCACCTCACTGCTAGCAAATGTGATGAGGCTTTTGATCTCTCTCCAAGAACTTATTACCTAACATTTTAATTACAAGCTGTCCTGGTGGCGGAAGTTAGTTTTCTCTTTGTGGTTTTGACTTCCATTTCTCTATGATTAATGTTGACTCTCACTGTTGAAAACCCAAGCCAATCACCTGACAGCACCCCCACTGCACCTATCTCCCATTCCACAAAACTGGTCATCAAATTAAGTTTATTAATGATATCCGCACTGTTATAACCGTGGGCCGCTCACTGAGGGATGTTTTCTTCACTCGAGTGTTAAGAAGCAGCAGGAGCCTCAGCAACTTGCTCCTTCTGTTTTTGTCTTGTTTGTTCTGGGCTGCGGATGTTGCTTAGCTGTGAAGGTGCTTATCTAGCATGCATGAAGCTGAGCTTCAACCCAGCACTGCATAAACTGCATAGTTAGTCCAGACCTGTGATACCTGCACTTGGAAGCTGGAAGTGGGAGCATCAAGGTTACAGCCTCACTCTTCCCTTCTTTGTCTTCACTGCCTACCTGTGGATGAAAGATCAGACAGCTTCCTCGCCCTGCCTCTATGCCTTTCCCTGCCTGCTGTCAGGCTTTTCCTACCATGGGCTACACACACGCACACGCACACGGGGGGCGGGAGGGGGGAGGGAGGGAGGAAAGGAGGGAGGAACACATTCAAAAAGGAAAGAAGAGATGATAGAAGGAAGAGAAGAAGGACACTAGTTAGATAGTGTGGCCTGTCACTAGCAACACTAAGCCATGTTGAGAAGATTGGAAGACTCTGCGTTTTGTTATCATCATTGGAAGGGAAAGGAGCTGAAGAGTGCTAATAACTAATCATGTTTAGAGCTAGGGGTATATAGCAAGTTGTTACAGTACATACATACATACCTAACAGGCACAACACATTAAGTTCTGCCTCCATCACTGCATTAAACTGAGCACAGCAGTGCATACCTGTCTTACCAGGACTGGGGAGGTGGAGGCAGGAGGATCAAAAGTTTAAGGTTATGTGAGTTTTATTTAGGTGATCCTGGGCTAAAGAAGACTGTTTCTCAAAAACCAACCATCAATCATGTTACATGGAACATGGTTGTGGTGGTGGGGGTTGCAGGGTGAGTGCATGAGGAGTAGGGACTAGTCAGAGAAAGTGACTTTGTGGTCTGGGGCCTGTGCAATAGGTGGTGAGTTCAAGTTCAAAGGGAAGTCATTTCAAGAGCCAGGAAGAGCATGCGTGAAGGGTCAGACATGGAACAATGCTCTCAAAGTTCAGGGGACTGAAGCTAAGGCCCCCTTAGAAGTAACAAGCTATGAGAAGTGATAAAAGCTACACAGTAAAACAGTGCAGGTATTGGAGGGTTGTCATGGTCATCTACAGGGATAGTGTAATGGTAGAAATGAGTAGGGAGGTGTCAGGGGACTAAGAGGACATGAGGATAGAGGAAAGAAACTCATTACTGTAAATAGGAAGCATGTGCTAAGATCCTGGAGTGACTGAGAATCTTAATGGATACCACAAGGAGAAAACAGAATTGCAAGGTAGGATGGACAGCTCTCTTCCTTCTTTCATAAGGACAAGGCAAACATAGACAAACAAGGGCCAGAATGTGTGGGGCCTTGGGAGTTTTAACAAGAAATTAAATTTGGTTCCAGTGACAACAGGAAGCTATTGATGGATTTAGGGCAGAGAAGTAACTCAATGTGACATACTTAATAATAATGGATTAAAAACTAGTATTTAAGATCTGAGTCCATCCCCAGAATATACATGTAAAAAGCATACACTTAAATTCTAGAGCTGATGAGGTCGTGATATATTATTGATCCTTGGGGTTGTTGGCCAGCTAGCCTAGCCAGGCAAGTCTTAGTCATTGAGAAACCCTGTAACAAAAACAAAACAGTGAATTAACTGACAAGTGGCACTGGCATTGACCTCTGGATCCTACATGCACATTCATGTACACATATTTATCCAATCTCACACACACACACACACACACACACACACACACACACACACGAAGCAAGCCAGACTAGGCATGTGTAGCTCAGCTGTATAGTATTTGTCTAGAACCCACAATAAGGGACTAGAGGTGTGGCTCACTGCTAGTTATTGCCTAGAGAGGCTGGGAGTGTAACTCAGTGGTACAGCCCCTTTCTTGAAGACTCCTCTGAGGGGCAGGGTGTGTCTACTGCCTAGAATCCCCCCAGTGCAGGGCTGGGAGTGTTGCCCAGTGGTTTCTGCTCTGAACTAGTAGAAGGCTATAAGTGCTTTTTCTGATATTGTTAGGGAAGGTTTTGTTGTTGTTGTTTTGGTTGTTTGTTGGGGGTGAGGAGCGGTCACCATATAGTAGTACTCTGAGAATATTTTCTAGAAATGGAAATATAAAGGACTCTGCTAGAGAAAAGTGTTTGAGCTGATGCCCAAAGTCCTCAAGAATGAGCCTCCCAAACTAAAAGTTTGTATCCTGTCACCATATTCACCTGAGTATTTGGAAGGTATTTTGTCTTGTCTTCACCTCTAGGTTAGCAGTGACCTTAACAATCAAACAAACAAACACCCAAGAACTAAAATATATGCTTTATTTCCAGGACAGATGTAGGATCAGGATTTGTTAGTTGCCACTTAAGTACCACCGAAAAAACAGCCTGAGAAAACAAAGGAGTCTGTGCTATAAGAAGGCCCAGTGATAGAAACACACTTGGGTTTCAAAGTGCACAGAGCTTTGACCTGAGTTTCCAAGGAGGCTTGGTATCAGGACTCATAGGGTTATCAGACAGAACAGACCTGGACTCCTAGATCCGAGGAAGAAGTGCTGGGGTCTGGACTCCTGGGTCTGAGAAAAGAGGGTTAGGCTCCCTAGATCTTAAAGGGTGGGAACTAGTCGCCTAGATTTCAGGGAGAATTGGAACCTAGAAACTTGGTTCTGGGGAAGGTAGGCTAGGGTGTGGACTTTGGAGTCTTGAAGGAGGAGGGCTTAGCTTGGACTTGGTCTAAGAGAAGACTTGGGTTGGACTGCTAGCAATGAGGGATGAGGTTGGGGTCTGGACTCCCAGAGTCTGGGAGCAGAGGCATGCGGTGTAGACCAGAGGAGCTGGGGGGAGGGGAGGGTGCTAGCTGGCACTCACCACACTAGCACGGTAACACTAGCGGACCCAAGTGCAGCGGTGGCAGCGAGCAGGAATAAGTTGCCAAGCGTCAGAGCCTGGGGCCTGGTAAACAGTTCGCCTAGGCTGGGCCTCCAGGGCTGGATCACTTCCGCCTCCTGCGGCTTCCAATGCATCACTTCCCGGAACGTGACCTGGAGCTCAGTCTCCTCAGCCGGAGGAGAGCCCGTCACTGCCAGAGCATACACGTTAGAGGACAGAGCTCCGCCCTCGGCCCTACCTCATATCCTCGCCCCGCCCGTACCGTTCAGAAAGAAGTAGAGCCGCGCCAGAGGGCGCTGGTCGTGCAGGATCACGCAGGAAAAGGTCCCACCATGGCTGGGCTGCACTGGCCGGATTCGTGCCAGGTACCCGTGAGCCCCCGGCACATCACGGAAGTAGGAAACGTCCCGAGTCCGGAGCTGCGGGACAGCGGGACTGAGGCTGAAGAGCTTAAATACACCCGCAATGCCCAGCTCTGATGCACGCCCGCTCCCAAAGCACTAAGGTCGCAAGCCTCTGGCTCTTTTGGCTGCACTAAGCAACCCTTCTGGGCATTCCCTAAAGCCTGACTCATAATGCACACTGAGCATGAGTCTTCCATATATTTAGCTCCCATCTCTTCCTAGGTCCCCGATCCTTCTTCTTGCACTAAACCGAACACCTACATTGAACTGAACCTCATCCTTCCCAAGCCCTCCAGCTGGCTGTTTCCGGACTCACACCTCCTCCCGCAAATTTCCAGGAATAGGTGACCTCCGACTCTGGCAACTGGAAGGCCACGATACAAGAAAACAAAGCCTGGTCCCCTCGGTTCACCAGCATGTCCTGAACTGAAAAGAGGCCAGGTAGCTCTTGTAGGCCTGCACAAGCCCCGCCCCGTGGCATCCCAGCTTCGCCCTCTCACCTGGACAGTCTAGAGGCAGCCTGCAGATTGTGGAAAAGCAGCCCGAGCAGTGGAAACGCCTAGTGACCTCCTGGACGCCTAGTGAACGGAGAACAGGAGTGTTGGGCTCCCCTTGAAGTCTCCCCATCAATTCTCTCAACCTTGTTAAATCTATGGAGACCTCCAGGGTTCTATTGGGGAAGTGGAAAATAGACTCAGTCTTTTCTGGTAAATTAATCTCTGTCCAGTTGTGCCCTGGTTAACTTTCTGGCTTGTGTGGCCACTTGAGCCAGTTTCCTACAACATATACGTTGTATGTTTTGTGTTATAGCCAATGGGAACGAAACCTAGGGATTTATGCATGCTAGCCAAACTCTCTACCACTTACACATACTCCCACTCCCCTTCGTGGGGATTTTAGGCAAGTCTATACCACTAAGCCATACATACCCCAGCCCCTCTGGAAGAGTCTAGGCAGGGGACCTACCACTGAACCACACCTCCAGCCGCTCACTGGTATTCCAGGCAAGCACTCCACCGCTGAGCTGTATTTTCTGTATTCTTTTTAGATTTTGTTTTGAGTCAGGGTCCCCCTAAATTGCCAGGCATGGAGTAGAATTCCTGTAGCCCAAGTTAACCTTGGACATGTAATCCTCCTGAGCTGGCCTCCAGTAGCTAGGATGACAGGCCTGAGCCACCAGGGCCTGCTCCTTAGAAGTTTTTGAACAGTACCTAGTTTATGTGTTTTTCTATTGGGTTCCATTGGATCTGAGGCCTACTCATTGTCCCAATCTTAAGTTCCAGGTTTCTACCCCGGTCACCATGTTCCCTTGCTGTTTTAAGTTTGGAACTAATTTCTTACCACAAGGAGGGATGCAGTCCTGGGCTGTGGAGAGAAAGGAGGCATTAAGACTCAGGTAGTTGACAGAGGGACCTACCTAAAGCCCCTCCAGAAGGTATTACAGGCAAGGAATCCTATCCTCTGGAGAACAGGTCTAGGCTCCTAATACAGCACTTGGAAACACTGTACATTGATCCTAACATGCAAGGCCAAGTCCATGGAGCTTCATCAAAAAGATGGAGGAAGGCCAAGTGTGTCAGGCCTTAACCTGGAGTTAGCCGTCTATGAAAAGGGGAATGTGGTGGGAATACATTATCCTTGAGGGTGGGAGTAGATCCCAGGCAACCAATCCTAGTCAGCACCTAGGCCCTGTCAGAGAAGCACCACCTAGAGAGGATGCTTTTGAGTGCAGAGCCAGAAACAGATTCAGAAGAGGCCTAGGTGGATATGGGCCAGGACTGTCATACGTACTGTACTAGAACAACAGGAAATCCACAGTTCCCAGCATTTAGGCTGGACTCAGAATATCTGCCTGTGTGGTATGGGATACATCTGCAGGGGATGGAGTTAGAGGCTGGTTTACCTTTTTTAAGGTATCTAATGGTCCTCTTCAATTTATCTGCAGCACTGGAGAAGGCATGCCAAAAGGACCCTGAAGGATGAAGCAGGGTGGTTGGACTAAAAGCCCTTTCCCTGGGTCTTGCTGTCTCTCCCATAAGCACAGGCTGTTTCCTCTTCCCACAGATCCAAAGGGAAGGCTGGGAAACTTCTCCCAAGTGTTCTTTCTGCCTCCTGAAAGAACTATCCATTTATGTCTTAGTGGAAATGGGAGGATAATGATCAAATCCTCTTCAGAGCTTACCGAGCCCTACTATGCTGGTTCAGTTTCCTCTTTCTCTGTGGCAATGCTCTTGTCCACTTTCCATCTCCAGGTTACCTGGATTTATAAACATCTTTTGCCCAGCTCCCCATTCTCTACCAACTCATGCATCACTGAAAGGGTTTTGATCACAGCACATACGTGCTAAAGTCTCTACCTCTCATTGTGCACAGGGTACATAAGCTCCACCTGTTTGCAGTTACACATATTTGTATGTAAATTCTGTGCTTACATATGCTAATGAATTACATCCATCTTTTTAGCATTTTGTTTCAAGACAGTGGCTCACTATGTTCCAGGCTGGCCTTAAGACCAGTCAGGCCATGAATTTAGAGATCTGCCTACCACCTCTGCCTCCCCAGTGCTGGGATTAAAGGCACACAAAACCACACCTGGTGTTTGGTATTCTTTTAATTAATGTCTTTTTGTTCTTTGGGAATTTTATACATGCCTGCAATGTATTTTATATTTATCCCCTCTCCTATCTTCCAAACCTACCCACTTCCTACTCCTCCCAACCCTCTTCATGACTTTTTTCTTCTTTTTTTTTTTTTTAATATAATAACCACTCAATCCAATCTGTGCTGAGCATCCACTAGAGGATGATCAGCCTACAAATCAGGGACTGCATGCATCCTTGAAGATGACTGGCTCTAACCCCTGAAACAGCCATCCACTATAAGTATGGCATCAGTTAGAGGTGAAGGTTTGTGAGAGCCTCCCCCACAGTGCTGGAATGTAGACAGACTTGATCTTGTGCAGGCAACCACAGCTGCTTTGTGTACAGCAGTCCATTAGTCCTGTCATGTTCAGGACACACTACTTTGTCTAGTCCTCCCTGAACTCTGACCCTTAAAAATATTTCCACCCTCTCTTCTCAATGTTCCCTGAATATTCTCGAATACTGCATCTTTAGAACACACAAAAGAAAACAGCCAAGTATATGTTGAGTGAATTCTAAAGTCCAACAGGAACTATGTAAGTCACCAGCAGTGGCCTTAGACCCAAATACATCACCTGTCTGATTTCTATCAGACAGGATTCTTTTTTCCCCCAGTTTTTCCAGACAGGGTTTCTCTGCATAGCCTTGACTGTCCTGGAACTCTGTGGAACAGGCTAGTCTTGAACTTGGAAATTGGCTGGCCTCTGTGGGCCAAGTCCTGGAATTAAAAGTGTGCACCCTCGCTATGACCCAGCTTATTTCTTTTTCTGAATATGAGCTGGTTGCCAATATATGACTTTGGGACAGCTCTTTTTTAAAAATGCCAAGGAGGCTGAAGAGATGGCTCTGAAGTTAAACCAACGAATTGCTCTTGCACAGGACCCTACTTTTGTTTTCCCAGTACTCGTGTCAGGAGATTCACAACCTTCTGTAACTCCAACTTCAGGGCATATGAAGTTCTCCTTCTGGCCTTCAAATGCTTCGGTACACACATACACCAACCCTTCCCCTCCCCTCACACATATTTAAAGATGTACGAAACTATAAAACATGGCCTACAGTGCCATAAAGCTGTAGTTAGCAGGTCAGTGACCACCATTCCCTTTAAACAGAGCATTTCCAAGTCCTTCTCTACTCAAACCACCATTCATTTCTGCCCCTTCACATGTTATGTTCAGAAGCCTTGATTCTAACCACTATAATGCCACCAGATCATGAGCTGGAGCTCTCCAGAGACCAGCTTTCTGGTTGCAAATGGTTGTGACAGTGTATACTCCCAACCTTATTCATATGTGACATCCCAAGCCCCATTACATTATGGAAGAGAGTGTCCCTGTACTTGGAGACAGCATTATTAGAGGGGTTAAAATGGCATCCTTTGGGAATACCCTAGACAAATATGAAAGTTCATAATTTTTGTCAATTTCATAGGATTTAGAATCACCATGGAAACCAACCTCTAGGCCTGTGGAGGAGTAAGCATACCCTATATGTGAGTGGTACCATATCACTGACTGGCATTCCAGAGTGAATCAAATGAAGTAAGCTGAACACCAGCATTCATCTCTCCCTGCTTCCTGTGTATGCACAGACACCTCACACTCCTGCCATGCCTTCTCGACCCGATGGGCTGTACCCTCAGTGATCCATAATAAACCTTTGCTCCATTAAGCTGATTACCAAGTACTCTGTCACAGCACTGAAGGTAAAACCAAAATACATGTATGTATGAAACTGTTAGGAGGGAACTGGAAGTCTTAACTAAAGAATGGTACATTGTGGGTTATCTACAAGGAGAAATACCAGAGCCATGAAGTTGGATCAAAATGAAGAATCTGGGGTCAATTCTTAACCATAAGAGCATGATCTAGAGATGGTAGTACTGTGAAGAGGGTGTGGTCAGACTGGAGCCCTCAGTCAGCGAGTCAGAGGCCTGGATCCTGAAGGTATCACCCAACATACAGGGAATGGGTGGGTGGGACATACCAAGTGCACCCTAGAGGCCTGTGAGGTGGGAAGGGGTGGGGTTTAGTTTACACATCTAGTACACGTGGGGTGGGTAATGGAGGGAAAGATCCAAAACAGGGTAATCTGACAACTGAACCACAGCAGTACAAAGGCTGCTGCTGTCACCCTGGTGAGGAGCAGGTGTTGGTAGCTCTGACACGATTTCAGTTCTGGCCTGTACAGCTATGACTACACTTGTTTCACACAGACATATATCTATCCACAGATCTCAAGCCTGCCTCCATGAGTGAACTTGATCAGGTGGCAACTCTCTGCTCCTCCATTTCCCCTTGCATAAAACAGCAATGGTGGCAATGTCTACCGCAAAGACTGAGTGTGGATAAGATTGAGTGTTACATTAGATGGGATCTTTTTCATTCTGAGCTATCTATGGCTTGCTTTGGACAGTGCCCAGAAGCCCTTAGAGAGGACTTCCCTACCTTAAGGCAGGGTATCATCTACTACTACCCCTTTCAAATCTTACTTGGAGAAACTGAGCCATGAGGAGGTACAGAAGTTGGATATGATGGCACAGGCTCTTAGAGAGGCGCAGAGAATCATGAGATCAAGGTCAGCCTGGGCTACATAATGAGAGCTTCCCTCAAAACGAAGAAAAAGAGTAAGATAAATGTCAAGGTTATATAGTTACATGTAAACTCTGGCCTCCATACTTACTCATGCAACATTTTGTTAAAAAAAAAAAAAAAAAGATTTATGTGTCTGTGTGAATGTATGCATAAACCTTCAGGACAGGCATCTATTCATACCCACGAGGTATCCTATATATCTATTCCACTGAGACTGGGTCTCTCTGACACTCCAATTAATGTTTTCTCAGCTTTGCTGGAAGCCATCAAGCCCCACCAAGTCTTCTGTTTTACTTACTTTGGACCTGGGGTTATAGGCAGGTAAGGTGACAACTGACTTCTTTTGAGGGTGTTGCGATTCAAACTAAAATTCTCACGATTGCATACCAGGCAACCACTGAGCCATCTCTCTCCAGCCCTGTCTTTTATTTTGTTTGTTGTGACAGGGACTCACATAGCCGAGAATGGTCTTCACTAAACCCAGGGACATATGCACATGATAAAAAATGAAAACAGAGCCTGGAGAGATGGCTAGGAGGTTAAGAGCGCGGGCAGCTTTTGCATAAGACCTGGGTTCAGTTCCCCGCCAACACATACATGGTTGTTCACATCCTCTTCCGGCCAGTTCAGGCACTAGGCACGAACATGGTGTGCAGCAAAAAAAAAAAAAAAAAAGGTAAAAATGAAAATTCAATTGTTTCATAAAACCTTAGTCTGAAGGTTGAGTTCACAAAATATTCTTAAAGCAGTCCCGAGTTTTACTTGTGATCGGTCATGTCATGTGATGTTATGTACAGCTAAGGTGATACCCAAAAAGGCTTTGGATTTTGAAACATTTCATATATACACATACATACAGGTAAGAACACATGTATGCCACTTGATTTTTTTTTTGAGACAGACTATCTAACCGCTACTGCCTCCATCCAAATTCTGGCATTGTGTGAACCACCTGGATCATTTTATTTTCCTCTGACAGGGTCTGTTGTTTCCTCAGCTGGGTTTAAAATCACTCTGTAATGAAGAATGATCCTCCTGCCTCTACTGCTTGAGTGCTAAGATTACAGATATATGCAACCAAGAAGTTTACTAGGTGCTTGTTATAAAATCCATGATTTTCTGCATAACAGACAAACTACCAACTGAGCGACATCCGTAGACTTTAAAGAAGTTTTCACTATGGAGTTCAATGTGCTCTCAAACTCCTGTTCCCCGTCCCACCCCACACACCCACTTGGGAGTGTCAAGTCATATCCAGTTTAGGAAAATTTCAGATTATTGCACTAATGATATTCAATCTGTATTCACATTATAAACCTATGATGTGTACATAGAGACATTATCACACGTGGGTCCCCCTTTCCTCCGAGAGACAGCACTAGTCTGGTTCATCCAATGCACAAATTACCCTAAATTCTTACTACATATCTTCAAGCCCAGCTCAGTCCTAACTTTTTTACCTGGAAGGTAGGGCTTTAAAACTCCTAAAGGCTTGTAATAGAATAGCCCTTAGAAGAATAATTAGAATAAATGACTAACCAGGAGACACAGCACTCCTTAAGCAAGTACTCCACAGCTTAGCCATAGCCCAGCCTTCCACTGCTGAATTCTGTATGAGAGGTTTGTTGCCAAGAATTGTAGAAATTGTAGAACCTTATTGGGGAATTCTAGGCAGGCTCTTACCACTGAGTCACACCCCCACCCTCATACTTTATTGGTTGTTTATTGTCCATGCTCTGTCCTTAAACACAAGCATCTCTAGGGCAGGCCATTTGTAGTTTTGGTACCAGCTGTGACCCCCACAAATGCTTCTGAAATATTCAACAAGCCTCTGAAAAAATTACTATGAACAGTATCTACCAGTTTCCAGCTTCTCACTCTATGGAGGGTGGGTCTGAGAGGCTTCCCTGCCCTGCTGAAAATCCCCATTTGATTCTCTAGGTCTCCCAGGTCAGTGTCTTAAGTCTCCTTGACTGATCTCAACATCCAGATGTCTTGGTTCCTTGTGGATTTCTTCAGTATTACTTCATGGTTATTGTATTAGTACCCTAGTTATCTGTCACCAGTCCAGCTCTTGCTTCTTAAGTTCTTCATCTTAGGACGTCATTTCTAAGTAGCCAAATCCCATAAAAGATCACTAGACACAGACTCACTTTTCTATTTTCTAGTCCTCCCTCTCTTCACCATGGTCTCAGATCTGCATCAGACCACCCCCTCTCTAACCCCAACCACTGCCCCGCATTAGAAAGAGCTCTTCTACTCCCAAGGTCTACCCTTGGTCACTTTTTCCAAGTTCCCAATATGGAGACATGTGCAGGCATCAACAGACTGCATATCCCAGTATTCTACATTCCTTCCATCTCTCAGGTTTCTCTGAGTTTTCTTTGGAGTGGTGAGACGCAGAAAATTCTGAATAGTCCTGGATACCCTAGAATGAATGGTTCCTTTCTTTGTTTGGCAGGTCTTTGATATAAAACTTAGGGTGAACAAAATGAACCATTGTAGATGAGAAACAAACAAACAAACAAACAAAGCCTTCAACTCCCAGATTCTGGGAGTGGCCAATTTATCCTTCAAATGAATAAACAAACAAGAAGGACTTCTCACACAGCCATACTACCACTATCTAATATATTTAGGAGACTGTGTGCCCAGTGGTTGAGGACACCTGGTGTGATTAGTGTTAATCATATCTTTCCGAAACTCATGTCCCCAGAGCCTTAAGTCTGTTCCATACAGCTACATGAGTATGACCTTCTCTAATGTCCCAGCAGGAGTCTGGCCCTGATTATATCCCCTGAATGGCTAGCTCCACTCTTCCTAACCTATCTTTGTTAGTCATTAGAGAGAGAGAGAGAGAGAGAGAGAGAGAGAGAGAGAGAGAGAATGTGTTTCTGTCTGTTTGTGTCTGTCCTGTGCTAAAGGATTATGTCTGTATGTCTTGTCCAAAGGGATTATATCTTCTATTAAACATCTCATAAAAGGCAGGAACACATCCGAGCTTCAGAGCCCAGACAGTGAGAATCACAGCTAAGTCACATGTACTTGATCCCACAAAAGCTTCAGACTCCCTGTGACTTGCACACCTCCCTCAGTTCCTTGTCATCTTTGACTCCACTCACCTCTGGAGTTTTCTCAACAAATAACCTAACTCAAACAGGTTTCCAGTATCAGTATCATATCCTCAAGAACACTTTCCCCATCACATGGTCCATAAAACACTCACCCCGGCTAGCAGCCACCTCCTGAAGGTAAACTGTCATCTGTGTAAATTCATCATGCAGGTGGCTCCTCTCGTCATAGTCTGAAGGTGGACGAGAAGCAGGCTGAGGCACCATGGCACAAACCTGGTTCCATGGTGTTCTCTATTTCCGACTCATGGCTGAGTATCTCCAAGCCCTATGACCATTCCAGATTCTACAGCCCCAGTCTATGTTCTATGTGCCGTACCTGGAGATGGAGATCTCTCTCTCTCTCTCTCCTTTCTCTCTCCTCTCTCTCTCCCCTCTCCCCTCTCCCCTCTCCCCTCTCCCCTCTCCCTCTCCCTCTCCCTCTCCCTCTCCCTCTCCCTCTCCCTCTCCCCCTCTCTCTCTCTCTCTCTCTGTCTAGCCCTAACCCAAACCTTCAATCTGGGTATCTCTCCCTCTATCTCATCTCTGCCTCTGTTATCTGGTAGCCTGGATCTGCTTCCCTGTCTCCATCTTTACTCCAACCTCATGGGTCTCTGTCCTACCTATCTCTGGATCACTGTCTCTCTATCCATCCTGAACCTATTCTCTGTATCAGTACCTATCTCTCACTCTGGGTCTCTGTTCCTGTCTTATCTCTATGTATCTTACTCTTCTGTGGCTCTCATCAACTCTCTGGGTTTCTGGCTCTCTGTCCCTCTCTCTAGGTCTCCAGTCTCCCCACTCATCTGTGTTCCCTCCCAATCCATACCCTCCTCTCTGAACAATGCTTCTACTTTTCCATCTCTTTCCTTGTAACTCTATCTTTAGCCTCTCTCTGAGGCACTTTCTTGTCTGTCTCCACCCTACTCTGGACCTGTTTCCTTCCATTGTATCTACCTGTCTCTCTTCCCTGTGTCTTTGCCATGATCCTGTACTTAGCTTTCCTTCTTGGAGTAGTTCAAGGACTCTCCTTCCCCTCCCCAGGGCCCTAGTTCAGGAATTGGGGCTCCTCACTGATTTCCAGGTCTAAGAGACTCTCAAAAGCAGCAGAGAACCCATCAAAACACTGGCGTATCTTGGATTCCTCATTGCCCACAAACATCTGGCAGAGACGTAGGCGTTCCTCATAGGTGGTGAAGCAGAAGAGACAGGCCCACGTGGATGCCCTGAAGATCAGCAGGAACAACGGGGCAAAGCTCCCTACTAAGGCAACAAGACTCATAACAGAGGGTCTCTGGGTCTGAGGAGAAGATAGTAACCATTGTGAGGTCACTGTGGGGGAGGGGGAGCCTGTGATCAGAGATTAAGTTTCAGCCAGTAGTCAAGCCTCAGGCAGGCTCCATCTAGATAGAGGAAGGTTGCCAGGGGTCACCTGAAATCCCTAAATTTGTGGCTGAGCCAGGCGCCAGGCTCCCAAGAACCTCACCTGTGACCCTGGACGTCCTCACAGGTTAAAGGGTCTCAGGGACCCAGAGGCCGGCAATACTGCTATGGTGAACCAGAAAAGCCCCCTTCCTCAGAGGTGGGAACAGGGAAGAAAGACAGAAACAGATACCCTAAGCTCCAGAAGACAGAAAGAAACCAGGAGAGACATCAAGAAACTCAGAGACCCACAATGTCACAGAGATAGATTCACAGCACTAGAGAAACAGAAGGTTCTAGAACCCTAGAGACAGTGGTGTAAGAGACAGAAAATTAGAAAATCTCATGATGGCAAAGAGGCTGCAAAGAAAAGGGATAGGACAGAATGTGGACAGAGAAGATGCCCCCCACCCCCCCACCCCCGCTCCTACCAGGAACTCTGGTGCAGTGGTGTGGACCCGGGGTCCCCGCCGGCCCCTTCCAGTGCAGGGCGCAGCCTGGGGAAAGCTAGGAGGCCGTATAGTGATCTCCTCGGGTGTCTTCCTCAACTATACAACCTCCTACCTCAGCCCGGGGGGCGCGGCAGGTTGGCAGATTGACAAATGGATTGATGGGAGACCAGAAGTAGGGAGGGTGGGGAGGGCCGGGGAGGTCCCAGCCGCGATGGTGAGCCCCCGACACGGACCCACAGACACGAGCTTGTGTGCGGCGAAGGCCCCGCAAGGTCGGTTCTACGGGTGGGTGCCAGGACCCAGGAGTCCGGGGCCCCCGGCCCCCTCCTCCCCAAGGAACCCAGGAATTCTGCCCCAGTCCCACAAACTAAGCCCCAGCCCTCCTCTTTCAAGGACAGAGACCCAGCCCTCAGCCCTCCTCCCTCAGACCCAAGGCTTCCTCCCTTAGACTAAGGGGTACTGGTCCCAGACCTCCCTCCCACACATTTCCTCCAGACTTCCTCCCTTAGACTATGGGGTCCAGGTTCCAGCCCTCCCTCCCACAGATCCAGGGCTGCAGTCAATTTAATTTTCCCAGGGGGCCAGTCCCTAACCCTCACCGTTCTCCTCTACCCCGGCCACTTCCCTCGAAGACTCAGGATCCAACCAGGCACTTCCCTTAGAGAATACACAGTCTGGTTAGAGCCCTGGCTTCTGGAGTGCAGAAAGGATGTGTCCCCGTTTGTCTTTGCAATCTGAGACCCTTCTGTAATTCCTAAAGATTTCACATCCCAGGCCTGAGCTAAAAATGTCTTCTGGGTATCAGAAATTCTCATGGACCTCTCAGAATAATCCTATCGTTTCCAAAACCATTCTCAACCTTTAGGGTGATAGCTATGATCAAGGAATAATGACACCAACCAGGGCCCGTCTCCTCGACGCCTCCCAACTCAGAAATGAGGTCGCTACCTGCACCCACGAGCCTCCCAGAAGGGAAGCCACTAGGCCAAAGTCAGTTGTCCGCAGGTGGGAGGGGCCCTAGGATGTGCACCCACCCTGAGGCTCAGAGCTCAGAACTGGTCCTCTGGGGCTCCCAGGTTCCATGTTCTTCTTTTTGTTTCTTTCTCTCCGCCCATTTTTTTCTTACCTTGCCTTTTTCTTATTCTCCCTTTCTTTCTCAGTTTGCATCATCCCTGACTTGGCTCTCCACTTCTCCCATATCTGGATGTCTGGTCCTCACTCTCTCTTTACATTCACCTCTCTTCCTTACTTCCTATCTTCCATATCTACTTCTCAAGTCTCTCCCTCTTTTTCACAATCTTCTTCGTCTCCTTCCCTGGCTTTGTCTCTCCTTTTCTCTTAATTTCTGTCTGCCTCTCCTCCCTGCTTTTTATTTAGTCTAGCTTCTACCCTCCTCCCATCTTCCAGTCTCCTCTCGGGGTCTCTCTCTCCCTTTCTCTCTTTTCTCCTTCCCTCTCCTCCATCCCCTCCCCCATTCTTCTCTTTCTCCTTCCCTCTCTCTCTCCCTCCCCCTCGCTGCTCTGAGCCAGGTCTGGAGCTGGGGGTGGAGTGGGGATGGAGTGGGGGTGGGTTGAGAAGGGGCCCTGGGCCGGGGTAGCGACCTGCTGAGGAGGGGGAGGAGAGGCGGGAAGAAGGCGGAGAAGTAAAGGGGGAGGCGGGGGACCTGAGACCAGTCTTGGGCCTGAGCTCAAGTCCTCCTTTCCCTCCTTCCCAACCTCCCAGACCCTCAGGCGGGGGCGAGAGTCAGGCCAAGGTGGGGAGGAAGGGGAAGGGAGGAGCCCCCCCCCCCAACCAACCTGGCCCAGAGCCCAGGCCTGAGTTCCCAGCATGCCCCGGGGCTGCCTGGGGCCTGAGGAGGGGGGTGAGGAAAGCCGGGAAACGAGAATCTTAAAGATTCTCCAGACCTGAACATCTCTCAACACACCCTGCAAGTTTCTCTTCAGAGGGGAAACTGAGGCTCACAGAGAAGGTTCCGGACTGGTTCAAGGTCACTGCCCCAGACGTGGGTGCAGCTCCCTTGGGTCCACAGGCTTGCTTTGAGGAAGGGGTAGGCACTAGACTTCTCCCTGGGCATGGATCCCCTCCCCCTCTTTGCAGACCCTAGGGAGCCCCCAAGGGTCAGAGAGCAGACCCAAACAGTCTGGCACCATAGCAACCAATTGTTCCCTCCCCCTTAACCCCTGGAGGGCTGGACTCCAGCTGGGGCTAAAAAGGGGTTGGGGGGGAAACCTGGTTCCCGGGAAGGAGCCCCCAACCTATGCTCCAGTCCGGGCAGCTAAGAAGAAAAATGTTTGGGGCCTCGACTCGTGAGTTCTGAAGGAGGAGGGGATTGGGGTTCGCCTACACTTCTGGGCAGGAGGTGACGGCTGGAGAGTGGACTCCTTAGTCAGAGGCAAGAAGGAGCTGGGTGACCCAAACTCCTGGGTCCTGGGCAGACCGCAACTAGGGCTTCGGCTTGTGGAATTTGGGCAACAGCTTGGTAGATGGACCCTAAGGGAAAAGAAAGCTGGGACCTGGAATCCCGGGTCCTCAGGGGAGCCTGAACGCTGGGCCTCTCTACTACCAGACAGCCCCAGCCCCAGGCGCTGACCCGGGCCCGTCTGGCAGCCTAGACAACCTCCCCCTCCTAGCACCCTCCCACTCACTCGGCTCACCCTTGACCCCGCAAAGCCCCACAGCCCCATCTCTGCCCCTCCCCCTCCCTTCCAGCCAGACATTAACCCTTGGGCCGCTGGAGGCACTTCCAAAGCCAGACAGTTTTCTTCCACCTCCCGTGCGGTCTCTGGCGTCTGGTCCCGAGTCCCTTACACTCTGGGATCCTACAGTCTCCCTCTAAAATGTAAGAGATCCTTCTAGCTTCTGAAACCCGGGGACCCCAGAATCTAGACCACCAGCCTTCTTCCATCAAAGATTCAGGAGTCTAGACTCCCAGCTCTCCACCCTCCCCCACCACACACACACACACACACACACACACACTCCGAACCACAACCGCCACCACTACTTCGCCATCCAAGCCAGAATTCCAGGCCCAGGCTAGCTGCCTCCTCCCTTGGGGACCCTGGAGTCCGGCCCAGGTCCCATCCCCCTCCAGTTCCGCAGACTCACCGCTCCGCAGCTCCAGCGTCGCGGGGACCCAGTGTCCTCCTCCAGCCCCAGCCCCAGCTTCTCCATCATCTCCCTCCTCAGCTGCCCGCGGCCTCTCCTCTTCCTCCCGCCAGCCCCGCCATCCTCCGCCCCCTGTCGCCTGCTGCCTCTGGCCGGTGCCTCCTCCCGGCACTGAGAGCCCCGGCTCCCCCGCCCTAGACCCCGCGGGCAGCGTGGCCTCGGACCGGCCCCCTCCCCGGGGGGCCCCTACCCGGCCCCTCCCCACCGCCCAGCCCAGTCCGGCCTGGCTTCCCCCACCCCCCTGCCCTGGAGCTGGCCCGGGTCCAGGGGAAAAAATTCCATCCAGCCCTAGGGAGGAGGAGCAGGGCGGAGGAGGGAGCGGGAGGGGAGGCCGGGCTAGGGGAACATGACGCAGGGAGAAGGGAAGGGACAAAAGAGAGGCCGGGAGGCAGTGGAGGCAGACTCCCTCCTTCCCTCCTCCTCCTCGGATAGTGTCCGTTCAGTCTCAGTAGCTTTCTACCCTTCGATTCCCTCCATCTCTCCCCCTCTTCCAGACTCTAAACCTCCTCCCTGTCTCCCACCCTCATGTCTGGCCTCCTATCTGTCCTTTCAGCCTTTCTCTGTCTGCATCTCCGACCATGTTGCTAGCGAAGGTTCTTGCATTTTCTTTCTGTTTTTCTCCTTTTCTGGATGGGTGTGTTCTCCCTCTCTTCTCTCTCTGCACCTTCTCCAACCAGGGGCTGCATTCCCACCCACCCCCTTAGCCCCCCCCCCCCCGCCCCCTTCGCCTGCGCAGTGTTCCTCCCCTCCACTGCACTGGAACTCAAAGGTGAATCAGACCCCTATGTCTGCCCTTGCACACAGAGCTCACGGTCTGATGGAGGAATCAGACCCAGCCGCAGACTGTCCGGGGTGATGGAGGGTGCCGAAGGTAGCGATGGGGTGTCGAGACCAAAGACTGAGGAGAGAGGGGATGGGTGGAACGGCAGATAGAAACCCTACAGCAGTCAGCAGACGATCCGCCAAGAAGGCGTGGTTGCTGGTGCGACCTTAAAAAAAAAAAAAAAAAAGAAGTTAGATCCAGTTGTTGAAGGTAAGCAATAAGAGAGGTCCAGTCCAAAGGCACAGTTTAGGCAAAAGCCCAAAGGCAGGATCTAAGGTGATAGCAGAGGATAACAAAGAGGTCCACTATGATTAGGGACCAAGAGACCGGAAGCGCAACCCAGACTAGGGTGAGTGGGCGGGCAGTCCTGAACATGTTCAAGGCCAAGCTCAGAATGAAGTTGCTTGAAGCTGATTAGGTTCCTAGGAGCCCTTTGAGCAAAGAGGAGGATATGGCACAAGTCGGACTGTCAGATCTCTCTGGGGATTTGGGTGATCTGGAAAGAAAGATTATGGATTCTGAGAAGGAGGGCTCCCCTCTCCTTGGCAGGAGCTAGGACCAAGAAGAAAGGAGTGGAGAGG